TATAAATTAATTATAAAAAATATATTTATCACACAAGTTAAATAAACTTTATATATATATATATATATTTACGTCTCCATAACCACAATCGAGATTCCCTACTGGTATTGTCAATGTTCTCCAAAAAAGCTAAATTGCCAAACAGTTGGGCCCTACCACTGATCCTACTTCCACTACCTTCTTAAAGGGGGGGATTTAAGGGCTAGCAAAAATGGACCTTCTAGTTATACCCTAGTGGCAAAGCTGACCGCTTTTTTATTTTTTTATTTTTTTGACTAATTAAAGTTTTTTTTTTTTTTGAATGGTATGCTTCAATTAAGTAATATTGGACTCTGAATTAAGATTATTTATCTTTTGTAGATCATTTGAATCTCATAAAAATTTTTTCTTTTATTCTTTAATTAACTTATAGATAATTACAATATATTTAAAAAAATTAAAATATTTTTAAATTTATTTTTATATATCATGAGACTAATTCATTCACATTAAAAAATTTCACCTGATTGGTAGCCTAGTGGTAATAAAGCTGGCCACTATTATATGCATTGGCAAGCATTTTTAGCTGAATCATCACTTTTTCTTCTTTGTTATGTCTCTGTTTTTCAACTTGATTGATTTGGGTGACATCTTTCTTATTTGGGAATCGGAATAATTATGTCATATAATCGAATTTTAGTGTAATTTATGATATCATCAATTTTACCCATTTTCTCAAAATAAGGACTTCATTACATAATGGCTGTTGTCCGGATGACATAAAAGATAAAGCCTTTGGTGTTGATAATTCTTGGTCCATTAGATTTAGATTAACTAGTCACTTTTAAGAATGTATATGTACCTTAAACTAAATCTCAAGTCCCTAAACTGATTTCAGTAGTTTTTTTTTTTTTTTTTGTCTTGTCTATATATTAAGTTGCACAATATGAAATATTTTTTTTTCATCTCTTAACTTCATTTCATCAATATGTCATGTGATTTAAAATTTAAGAATTAGAAAATATTTATCTTAAACATAATTTGCCCAATTTCCATAAGGTTATAATTCAGGAGCTAATAAGGTTGTGGTTGATGTGGATGGCCTTAATTAAAGCCATTGAGGTTGACTTGATACTAGATGAGATCATGCATGCCTAGACCCTTGTCAATGGAAAACCACACAGAAAGACCAAACCTTCAAATTGATCAGTTTGTTGATCGCTGCTTTCCTGCAAAGTTGCCATGATAGTACAAGTTAGATTCAACATAGCCATAAGGAGATGGGGTGGGGGGCAGACGAATGCTTGAATACTAGTTACTTTGGTGTGAACTGTGAAGAGAGTAAAAGAAGCTCTCCTCCCCCTGTAGCAGGTTGGTTGCCATTTCAGGAGCGAGGATAGTTAATGCCTATACTAAGTTCTAGCCAGAAGGTGTGATTCAACATAGCCACACTCAATGCCTACACCAAGTTCTAGCCATATGGTCCCTTTTATGCCAATAAACTGTGTCCACAATGGCTATGTCGACACTGGCAATGACAGTAGAAGAGGGGACTAAAGCTCCCGTTAATTGTGCCCTTATTCCAAATGGAGGTCCTAAATGATGCTATTTTGATCAGAGATCCAAATGGCAGAATTCTGAACTTCCAGGATCCACCTAATATTGCTCAAAAGGCTGTCGACAGTTCCAAAAAGCATCTAGCTAGATATGCTTCCTGTGCAAATAAGTAAAATTCCTGTTCTCAGATGCTTGGCAAGTGCATTTGATATGTCAAATTTACTTTACCACTTTTCACTCGATTTTTGAAGGGCCAAAAGTTGTGTTACTAATTTAAACCGACAATCTGTCAAATTTAACACTTCTCCTTTTGATAAATGCACTTATTAAAGCATCTAAGTCTTTTTCTCTTTTGAGAACCACTAAAATTGCAGCACTAATAAAACTGTTGAAAATGAAATATCAAACATAAAACACTTTTTGTGCCTTTTGAAACAGAAACAGCAAAGCACCTTGCATGACATCAATGATCCTTTCTTAATAGTTCATATGTACTATTTATCAAGTAATGAAGGTATACATGATGAAATAAGAACATAAATTTTCTTTTAAAGCAGCATCTGATTCTGACTTGGACTCGGATTGGGATTAGCACTATTAAGTATCCACATGATAATTTAGCGCACTGATTAGTGGACATCCTTTATATCTATTTCTGATGTGCTAAAAATCTTTTGGTGGAAAGAAGGCAAGTGCTGGAAACCAGGTTGGTCGGGAATCTGTAACAGCATTCCAGCACTCTATATAGACACTTTCTGCCAAATAGCATCTTAAGTCTTAACACAGTTCAAAATGGCAGAAGAAGATGAGAGCCAGCAGCTGGAAAACGTAGAGCATGGACTCTCCAGCAATAATGGAGAAGCAAAAATGCCAGTTTCTGCTAGGGAAAAGGGCGGTTGGGTTACTTTCCCATTCATTGCAGGTCTCTTCTTTCTCTCTGATGCAATTTTTGTTGGACCTAGAGCTAGAAATGTGATTTGTCATTTTTTTTTTTAACTTACCACCAGGGGCACTTATGGGGCTGACACTTGCTGTTGCTGGATGGGGATGCAACTTTGTTGTGTACCTCATAGAGGAATTTCATGTGAGAAGTATTGATGCTACTCAAATATTTAACATAGCTGCTGCTTCCACCAGTCTACTTCCAATCCTTGGAGCAATTATTGCTGACTCCTTCTTAGGATGTTATACAGTCATTTGGGTTTCTTCTCTTATCTCTGTCATGGTAATACGCTCTTCTTAAATCCTTCTCATGGAAAGCTAGCTATTTTCTGTCACATTCTCAACATCAGTGATAATCTGCTCTTTCAGGGGATTATCCTCTTAGCTTTAACTGCCACGATTCATTCCTTGAGGCCTCGACCCTGTGACATTGGATCTTCCGAGTGCCCGCCTGCATCCAAAATTCAACTGGCCGTCCTATTTTTGGGCATAACTCTATCATCAATAGGTCCAGGAGGCACACGTTTTAACATTGCAGCAATGGGGGCAAACCAATTCAATAAACCAGATCATCAAAGAATCTTCTTCAACTGGTTTGCAGTTGTTATATATACCTCTCTACTATTAGGTGCCACCGTGATTGTTTATATAGAGGAAAATGTCAGTTGGGGACTTGGATTCTGCCTATGCATCATGACCAACATTATTGGATCAGTCATTTTCTTTTCAGGAAGATGTTACTATCGCCATGTAAAGCCCAAAGGAAGCCCTTTTACGAGCTTAGCTCGCGTTGTCATTGCCGCTATTGTGAAGAGGAAAGTCCATCTTTCATCCAATGCTGAAGATTACTACCATGGGCGAGGAGAGGGAGTAGAGATGGTAGCTTCAGTGCCCGGTAAAAGCCTCAGGTATGATCTTCCCAATTTACATCCATTTTCAAAGTTAAAGATCATTAAGTGAATAGATTGTGTATTGGTGTTATACGTGCAATGCAGGTTCCTAAACCATGCTGCATTGGAAACAGAGGGAGATACTAGAGAAGATGGCTCAGTTGCAAAACCATGGAGGCTGTGCTCAGCGCAAGAAGTTGAGGACCTCAAAACCTTATTAAGGATTTTCCGATTGTTATCAAGTAGTGTTATACTCTGCACTGCACTGCCAGTCCTAAACACCTTGACAATCCTCCAAGCCTTGACCACGAACCGCCATCTTGGATCACATTTCAAAGTCCCAGCAGGGTCCATGATTGTATTCATTTTGGCCACAACCGCCATCAACCTTTTTCTAAACGACCGTTTCCTTTTCCCCTTGTGGCGGACGATGACTGGCAGATCACCGATGCCCCTCCAACGAATAGGATTTGGCCACATTTTCAACACAACAAGCTTGGCTGTTGCTGCCCTGGTTGAGTCAAAAAGGCGAAGATTAGCTCAAAGCTACCTTCTCCCGGATCATCCAGGAGCTACCATCCCCATGTCAGTCCTATGGTTGGTGCCACAATTAACTCTGGTTGGCCTTGGGGAAGCATTCCATTACCCAGGACAAGTTACACTATACTATCAAGAATTTCCAATGTCGCTTAAAAGCACAGCAACTGCAATGGTGTCATTGATTTTGGGAATGGCTTATTATTTTAGTAGCATGGTGATTGATCTAGTTCGGAGGGTTACTCCATGGTTACCTAACAGTATCGATCATGGGAGGCTAGAGTATGTGTATTGGATGTTTTCCGCAATGGGGATGCTGAACTTTTGCTATTTTCTTATCTGTGCCAAGAATTACAGGAACAGAAATTTGGAGGAGAGAAATGATAGTTTTGTCTCAGAGAAGTGAGGCCATGATGAAGGAAACTAATTTTTACTTCATCAAATAATCACAATTAAGAGGAAGAAATGCCTGGGAATTTTCTTGTAATCCTGTTTGCAAGCATAAATTCTGTTTTACATATCTGTATTAAATAATGTTCTTCAATATTCTGCAATATGAAAAGGCAATTAGAGTATATTTACCTTATTTATTTTTAGTAATTCTTAAAATGAACCCCATATTTTAAAAAAAAAATAAATTTCCCCTTATACTTTTTAATGAAATTAACTATTTTATATTTCAATTGAAATAAATTTGTTAAAATTTAACAAATGACGGAATCTTAAGTCATGATTCCGTCTTTCCTCTTCAATACCTTGTAAGTTCTTCCTAATTTGAGAATCTTAGGCCCATTTTGTTAATGATTGGACATTTTCTTGATACCATGATAACTTTTCTATTGAAGTGAAAACTCTCAATAATGACTTACAAATGCTTCAATCTTTGACTAATTTATTTCAACCAAAATGCCGAGCTAATTTATTCAAGTCGAAACAAATGAAGGAAGATTTATTTCAAGAAAAAATATAAGAATTCATTTTAATGATCACCAAAAATAAAAGGATAAATATATCATTTTCACCATTCTAAAATATATTCAAAGAGTATAATTTTTTATGAGTTTCTTGTTTTACAATCTAAATTGCACTAAATTGCAAACCAAAAACCTTTGGATTGGTAGACAACCCATAATATCGGGGATTTGTCCTCATAAAAAAGAAAATCTTGTGTAGTGTAAACTTTATTAACACTTTGATTTCTTAATAATAGAACATCTAATAAAGATACTGATAGATGGGGAATAAAATTAATGAACTTTGAGAAGCATCTGGTTCTTTCTTGGACTCAGATTTGGTGGAGAAAACCATAAATCCTCTGTTGAATTGCCCCGGCATTTCATGATTGTACTTCTGAAGAATTCTATAAGCAGATATGGCAAAAAAGTAATTGAAAATGAAATTAATAAATTTTGATTCACATCTTTAATCTCACGAGAACCATGTGAAGGCATGAACATGGAGCAATGGTCTAATTTGAACAAAGATTATGTAGATAATCCTTTAGTCCGTGGATAGATACATGTTACCTGGTGTGAAAAACATAGGCAGGTCAAAGGTCCTGATTCAGCTACCTGCGCTGTGCAAGCAGCAGGAACAGGCATCCAATCTACTTACAATATCAACAATGAAAACCTACTAGACTCACTTACAAATTGCTGAAACTTCTGTAGGCCATGCTAGGGTATTCGGTCAAGTTAGCAATGAAAAGAATGATTTGATGAATCTCAGTTAACTGGATTCAGGAGGTGGAATGTTAGCATTTGAAAATTTTGTGCAGTCAAAAGGTCCAATCCCTTGATTGTTTTTCCGTCTCACCTGAAAAATCAAATGTCAGATGATTTTCAATGCTGTAGAAGATCCAAAGCAAGTTAGGTTACAAATTTCTAAAAAAAGAAAAATGAAAGAAAAAAAAAAATCAAAGCGTGTAGTATATAAAAAGATCAGTTTTCCTTAGCACAATATTCTAGTGGTTTTGGTCAATGTGCTCCTTTCTTATGTCCCTTTTCTTTCTCTGGCCATGGTGGAATTGATTGTAAATTATAAAAAAACCATTCCATAACACAATATTCTTTGTCTTCTCCATCCATATAGTTAATCAAGGAATATGCAGTAACACAGACATGCATGACCAGTGAGACACAAACTTTATCTCTTTCTGGACTAAATTGATATTATCTAGCAGTTTTCAGTGTTTGATAATGCTAATTGTCAATATAACCCAAGAAATCCATGGAACTATAAGCAGGTTTATAATGACCAACAAATACTAGAAGCAACTAGTTAGGAAGTAGGACCATACCGGAGACCATGGACCTGGTTCAGGTAGAGACTTGTCTTGGGGTGAATTTTGTACAGCACCACTTTTCATGGTTAGAATTTCCTGCAGAAAGCATTGCATAAGATGGCAAGATGGAGATTGTAAAAGCTCTATACAGCACTACTTTTCATGGTAAACAAATATCCAATACTAAAGCCAACTTTTTTATAGTCTATGAACAAGAGAGATAAAAAAAAAAAAAAAAAACTTTGTTATAGTCAACTCAACACCTTTAATTTCTGCATGCAACTAACTATAACCAGTAATAGAGATTTCAAGATCTTCTTTATTCATGTTGTGAATTAGATTAAAAGAATAGCATCATACAGGATGGGAAGATGATTAATATTTAATCCTTCTTCATATGCAGCAAAAAGGTTGTCTTGGGCTTGTAGCACTTACACAACCTACCATGACACTCATCTATTATAAAGAAACATGCATCAAACTTGAATAGCCCCCATAAAAGGAAGCAAAATAAAATTGCAAATCAAATGTCCATCTGCCTTCTTCTTAGGTATGCAGCCTTTTCATTCTTCCCTAATTATTTTTCTTCCATGAGGGGGTTGGATGGGCATGGTTAATGCCTTAACATGAGAAGAAGAAGAAGAATCAAAATTACCTCACCAGCAGCTTCAAATGCAGCTAACCATTCATCAGAAAATGGAACAGCATTAGGTGGAGGCTTTATTACAAGGTTAACTTGCTTTGTGTCATGCGTAGGTTCATTGCTGCAACAGAGAAAAAAAAAATCATACTGAAGCTTTTCTTTAAAACTTTTATAGCTTTTAAAGATCAGCTGAAAAGCTGGACGAATGCAAAAGGCCTTTTCAGACTGGGCTAAATCCTTACCACTGAGTTGTTTCATCCTTAGCTTCCATGGGATTTGAGGCATTTAACTCAGGCTGCATTTCAGTGTCAGGACTGCTACCCTCTTGAGAAACACCAGTTTCAGCATCTGTCAAGGTGTTACTGTCCAATTCTGCTTCCTGCACAATGTTTCCATAAGTAGTCTGATATGTTCTTACCCGGAATCTTGGTTCCTCATTCAAGCGAAGTGCTTTACAATCATTTTCTGTCTTTGAAATTTGAGCTCCTCTTGGTGAAGACAAATCAAACTCCAAAGATGGTGATTGACAACCAAGTTGACCGTCATGCTTGATCTTAATAGCAAAATAGGTTTCAAGATTTTGATCTGGTGGTTTAATCTTCACGGGACCTGGAGCTTCGTTGCAAATAAAACCTGGATTCTGAAGCTCAGGATTTTCACCAAGCTGTTCATCTGTATCCCCAACAACTGAAGACTTGCCTTTTTCTGCTGAAGTATCAAGGTTATTGTTGCAGCTGTGGAGTATATTACTGCCATCAAAGGGCTGCAAATTCTCGTCCCCTGTTAGCAATCTCTTAGTCACATTGTTAACTCTGGCAGCCCTTTCTTCATTAGTTTGTTCTTTCTGTTCAAGCTGAAACTGATCATGAGGACCTTTCAGTCCTTCACCAAAATTTTTATCATTGAGACTGACCTCAAAAATGTCATCAGTATCCACTTTCCTACACTCGTCAAAACATTTTTCCTCCACAGAAAAAGGGCAATGATATGTCTCTGGAATCAAATTTCCCTCTTTATATGCTCTGTTAGCTTCAAGGGAGCAGGACTCCATCTGCTTAGCTTGATCATTAGACTCTCCATTGACATTATACACAACACATGGCAATGGAATGAGCAGCATCAAATTGTCCTGATGACAAACTGTGATATTTTCTCCAGGCTGCAGGTCTGAGGTAGAGTTGTGGATGTTTACAGGAAAATCACCTTGTTTGCTTTCCTTACCTTCTTGGTTAATAGCATCACCTACTCCAGGACTGTTACCTTGCGTTGCAGAGCTAAGCTGGGATGTTAAATGGGGATTTTCTAGTTCTTTGAAACTAAGATAACAACTCTTTTGAAAAATATTAGTATCAGCAATATCAGGAAGACTTGGTGCATCAATTATTTGATCTTTCCCATTCCTCTCCAATTCCTGTGATGTAGCTCCATTAAGGAAATCAGTGTCACATTTGCATTGTGCCTCAGTAGAACCTGCAACATCATCCACATGTGGGCATTCCATTTCTGTCATGTCAAAACCACAGGCAGTTGAAGTTTCTAGCTCCTTTCTAAAAGCATCTGCTCTTTCTGGCATTTCAAGTTTAACATTAAGAAGATTGCTCTCTGCATGCTGATCATCTGCTGCTGACATGTTCAAGAAATCATTGGTGTTCTCAAGAGATACATTAGCATCAAAAGATTTCACCTGTACATGCAGTTTACTACCTGAGTAATCACCACTACCAACACTATCTTTCACTTGGTTTTCATCAGCAGAGTAAAGTAGACTGTCAGACCTTCCCAATTCGCCAGCACTACAACCTCTTTCTTTTGGATAGATATTGTCACAATTCATGTCACTGAATATATGGAATTCTTCAGAAAGTCCACTCTCCAAGGCACCTTCATGTACATGAGGCCTCTGAATCTCAGTAATTATATGATCACCTTCCAGGGAACAAAGCTTCACTGTGTCAACTAGTTCCTTGGACTTTTCGTCGCCAATAATTATGCTGCTTTCCTGATTGTCTTGTAAATTTGAAGAACCTTCTGAAGAGATACCAATATTCTTGGCTGATGAATGGTACTGCCTGTTTCCTGCAAGTTGGTTGCCACTGGTGTGATGAGACATAAAATAGGGGGTTTTGAGCTTTGCTCCACTCAGAGCTTCTCTTTTGGGACTAAGCTTGTTGTCTCTCTTCATACAATCTTTCTCCACCTGTTCAAGGGATCCATTTTGCTGGAACAATTTGTTATCATCATTTCCTAGTCCTTTATCTTTGCCTTGTTTCTCAACATCATTATGAGTGTCATGCAGCTGTTGCTGATTATTTGTTGTTTCATGACTATTTAAAGCACAAGCAGCCGTCAGATCAACCTTCAGCTTATTAGTTGCCTTCAAGTTAGCTTTTCTATTTTCACATGACATAGTGCTAACACTTGATGGAAGAGAGCAGCCGGCACTAGAGATGGATCTGGTATCATTTCCAATTGTTGTCGTATCATTAACCATTCCAAGAACTTTCATAGGAGCTAGTGGAGGCTTCACAGAAATAGGTTTTGTGGAAGTAAGTCTCCTCAAACTAGGAATATCAGACTGAGGATGATTGCTGGTTTGTGTGCTTCTTGGTAACATAGTACGCAAGGCAGAATCTTTTGACTGCAAAAAGTTATCATAAATGAATGAAAAAAAGAGATGCAATGAGACCTAAGCTACTAAAAATTCAAAAGAAAATCATTACAGACAAAGATAAATATGGAAGAGCTGTAAATACCACCAAAATTGCTTACTGGGCCAAAGAACTGCAGTGAAGGTGAAGGCATCCTTAACCCTGATGGTTTTACCATTTGCTGTGCTGCAACTGGCACGCTCCCACCAACACAGGAACCATGTTGGGGAATAGAAGAAGGTTTGCTGGATTTAGTCAGATGGCTGATTTCTGCATGAACAGCAGGCTTGTTCTCTGGCTCTTTGATGACCTTTTTGCCTAAGTTAACTTTGGTAAATTTATCAGTTGATAAAGGACTTCCTGATGGCATGCTACCCTGTAAATAACAAAGATCACATGAAATCACATGCTAAGAAGCATTCCTGCTTGCTAAGGCAATCCTAAAAGAGAATACAATTGATGGAAATATTAGGTACCACAAATTTCCACAGAAACTATTCCTACAAGAGCATATGTTCTCACCACATTTCTTCTAGCCTGTTGCACAGAGGCTTTTGAAGTCAAAGATCTACTAGCAAGACCATGTTTTGCATCATTTTGAGCAATTTTTTTACTCTTTGAGGACCCTGATCCTAACCTTCTCTGGGCATGCACTGCTGCATAAGAAAGAAGAAGCCAGTAGGATGCATCAATTTCATTTTATGTAAATGTGAAATCAGATTTCAGGCAAACAAACCCTATTAAAGACTGAAAAGGATCTCTTAAAGTAAGACAGAATTATAAAATGCAGATTGATGTAACTCAAGAGATTAAACACCTGGTTGGCCAATGTTATTTCCCTTAAGTTTATTTGCTCCCACAACACACTTAGAAGTTGAAGAAATGGCAAAGGAATCTGGCTTTGGGACTGGTATCTTAGAAACCTTTGACTCCCTACTTGCTGCTTTTGTCATGTTCACATTCGCTGGTCTTTTCAGGGTTCAAAGAAGTCAAGGCTATAACCCCTTTAAATAGTTCATATAGACAAAAGAACAACTCAAATAAACCATCACAGGCTTAAACAATATTGTTTTGTAGTCCAGATTGCAAAACACTTTCTTGTTGTTTATATATAATAAAACCAAAGTAAGGATATGCAGATGAGATGATAGGTCTCAGGCAACCACTGCGCTTAGATCCACTTTTATTAGCATCCTGGCTCAGCACATTTCGCTTGACCTGTGGGGAACAAAATCAACACAATCACAACTATCTCAATTATGCCATCGTCATACTTAGTCAAACAACACGGCAAAATGGTACAATTTATGTTAGCCAGAATATGCTTTCAATGAAAGACTACTACAAGAAGGAACCAAGATACTTATGAAGCTCAGAAGAACTTACCGCAGAAGCTTTGGCTGGAGTCTTCATAGTTGACGGATCAACTTTTGTTAATAAACCACCACCATTATTCTTCTCTTCATTAAGATGAGACACTTCATTGAACAAATTCTTTTCCAGCACCAACAAATCTTCGGATTCACTTGCACAGCCAAGAACACTAGACGAGGATTCTTCATTGATGACTGACAACGTTTCTCCACCAGGTTCACCAAGATTTCCACTAAGTAACGACAACTCTACAGAATTTAGAACACCTGACCAAAGAGCGGGCCATAACATTATGTATTGGAACTAGGAAGGCAGCATTAAACGAGAAAACTCAAAAAGAAAAAAGAAATCTGAAGTGAAAAATCAGCAAAACCTTCTTCCGTGAAGAAAGCTCGATTCCACGCTAGGCTTTTTCTCAAATTGTATCCTCCACCTTTCTTCTTCCTCTTCATTTTCTGTGGCTCCATGCTAAGCTTTGCTGCGTCCGATTTGTTTGTGTTATTAACATTTTCTTTGTCAACCGACGCACTCTCTCTATTAGCATTAGATTTCAGTTTTTCTGCAAAACAGTAGGCAATCTCGTTTTCAGATCAAAACTCTCCCAGTATCATACAAAAAACCTAACGCTGCTCAATCTCTGTATTCTCTAAGAACGAAGATGAAGATAACGTAGAAAAATCAATAATATTAAACCCTAGGATCTGAATCGGAGCCAATGAAGTGATAATAACGGATTAAATTCAATTAAGAGATGAAAAAAAGAAAAAGAAAAAGGAAGAACAGAAGAAACTGACCGATTTCATTTGGAAGAGGCGGCTTAGGTCTGGAGAAGTGGAATGGGGAGCAAGAGAGATAGGAAGGAGCGTCGTCGGCGCTGTTCTGCAGCAAGGAATCGTCGGCGCCGGAGATCTCTATCAGGGAGAGATCGTCCTCCATTTCTTCTTCGCTCTGCTTCTGATGGTGTAATCGCCTACCGTAGCAAAATTAAGGGAAGCGAAAAGAGTGTGTAGAGTTTGGGGAATTTTCGACTGGAAACTGAAATCTGAATGGGAAATTTGAAATGACGTTCAGCGGGAAGTATCAGACAACGAACACGTGATCAGAGTTTTCATGGCTCATTTATAAATGCCCGTAGGCCACATTTGGACTCTGGAGATGGTCGGACTTGGACCCATTGGGCCCTCAGGGTATTCTCAGTCATTCATCATCATTTCTGTAATTTTGCCTGGAAAAGATGACGGTGGGCCGATAACAAGCCCAGACTCGCGGAAAGAGGGTCGAGAACAAACAGATTAAAAAAATGACAACCCTAGCTCCTCTTTCTTAACATATGCGTGGATAAAAATTAATAAAGGGAAGTGAAGGGGGTAATTAATCCCGTATCTGTATACTTTATCTTTCCCCCCCTTTTTCTCTCCCTTCTCTGTTATTTCTGCTTTCTTCTCCGGCGTGGTGTTTGTTTTGATCGGAAGCCTTTAAGCTTCCAAGGTTTTGATACTTGAGCCGCTGGGCTCCCCAACCGCTTAAGCATGCTGGAGCCGGCATGTGCTCCCTCCTCCGATGACCCTTCGGGGTTATTCAGTATCCTCCGATGACCCTTCGGGGTCTGTCGGTTTCTGGGTCCTTTTCCGGTGACCCTTTTGGTTTTTTTTTTTTTTTTCCTGTCTGTTTTCTTGTTGTTTTGTTTTACTTTGTTTCTTGTATAGTTTCTTTGTTTCAGATCTGGCGACCCTCGGCTTTCCTGTAGATATTGGGAGGTGCTCGCTGTTTTTCCAGTTCTGGCCACCATCAAATTGGATTTCTGCCGCGACGTCCTGGAGATCTTGCGCCATCCTCTCTGGAGTAGTTTGAAGGGTGTCACATGGCTGGATCGGTCGACCTCAAGTTGCTCGAGTGATTTCACCTCTCTTCCTCCCATGCATCGGGCCTGCTCTGCTTTACTTCTCTAGTTGTTCTTTTCTGTGTTTGTTACCCTTATCCTTTTGGATAAGGACTAGTTGTAGATGTCGTATGGCAGTTTCTTAATGCAGTGCTAATACCTTTTTCTCAAAAAAAAATAAAGGGAAGTGAAGGGAAGGGAGGTAAAGGGAAGAGAGAGAAAGGGAAGAAGAGTAAATAATTAGTATTAATTTTGTTTGAATAAATTAAAAAAGAGGAAGGAGAGGGAGGGACAAATTATATTTTTTATATTTAATTAAACGAATTAAAGAAAATTAATTATAAAATTAATTAAAATTTTATAAATATATATATTAAAATTAAAGTTACAATAGAAATTTTAATTACATATTAAAAAAAGTAAAAAAATAAAAATAAAAATAAAAATAAAAATAAATTAAATCTCTTCAAATCCCCCAAATTAGAGGGATTAAAAATAATAGAGTCCACCTCCCCTCCATCTATCTCCTTTTCTGTCTCAAATTGGAGGGATTAAAAATAATAGATTTGGAAGGAATCCATTTCCCCTTATCTATCTCCTTTTCTGTCCCTCACTCCTTTACACTATATTTGGATTGAGGAAGTTGGAGGGGAACGAGAGGAGAGTGAGGGAGAGAGAATATTTTTACTTATTTAGATAAAAAATTTTAATAGAGAGGAGGGAGATGGAGGGAGACGGAGTTCCCTCCTCTTCTTTGTTTTGAATTCCTCAAAATCTATTCGATTGAGATAAATTACATTATTTAATTTATTTTTGTTTTTAATTTTTTAAGATAAATAAATATAAATATTTTATTTCAATTATTTATTTAATTAATAAATTTTAAATTTTTTATTTATTTTTCATTAAATTATTTAATTAAATAAAAATATTATCTTTTCCTCTCATTTGCTTTCATCTATCCAAACGAAATTAATATCAACTTTTTCCTCCCTTTCACTTCTCCTCCCTTTCCTTTCCCTCCCCTCTCTTCTCTTTTTTTTCCTTTACTAATTTTTATCCGAACATACGCTTAATGTTGTTATTCAAACAAAAGAGAGAGGAGAAACATTTCTTTCACTCTCTTCCCCTTTCCCCTGAACTCCCTCAATCCGAACAAAAGCTTAGAGAAAAGCCTAACTTTATAAATAGGAGTTAGGGGCTTTGTAACTCTATAAAAGTTACATGTAGAGAGAACAATCTAAGTCTCATGTACATGGTAGATTATGCACTACAGCTTTTAGTATATCAAAACTCCGATCTATTTTTTTTCTCTCAATAAAAATTTAGAATTTGTTCTCGTCTAGACTCTTATTATTATTATTATTATTTCTTTTGTTTAGATCTCTGCTTATCAAGTACGGTGAGAATGGTGCTGGAAAGAAAGAAACCGTTTTTAATAATAACTGAGGATATCTTAGAGTCAATCTTGAAACGGCTACCTTTGATTGACATTCATCGAGCCAAAGCTGTTTGTTCTTTCTGTAAATCAACTGCTCAAGCACTCCTTTCCTCCAACTCCGACTTGTGCCACTTCAAAATCCCATGACAGTTTTACTAACTGTCTAAATTTCATCATTAGTTTTAATTTGTGATGAAAAATAAAGATTTAGTTGAAAAATAAAGATTTAGTGACCAATAATTTAATTTTTAAATGTGATTTCTTTTTATAATGAGACAAATAATTATAATGAAAGACTTCTCTAATTAAATTGATTCTAAAAATATTCATATTTAGATAAAAAAAAGATTATTTGATGATTAATAATTGTTAATATTTATAATTTAAAATATTTAATTCATTCGACTAAACTCAACAATTTATGATAGCTTCCAATAGAACAAAACAACACTTCTACTTTGTATACCGTGACCTCGCGTGAGGATAACCCCAGTTCAGATGTTGTCTAATTCATCTTTGGTACTGTTAAATACATGGTGCAGGAGTGGCGTGTATTTACAAGGAGGCAGGTTAGCTGGAGGTCCCATAACACTTGTTTCAGCAGTGTCTCCATTTTTCACTATAAAAACGGCAGCCATTCCCCAGCTAAGATGCCTTTCAAAATGGCAATGCATAAGCCAAACCCCTGTTAAAAAAATTCACAGTCTCCAGTGTCAGTGGCATCATTTTTACGACTTTGATTCCGAAGTTAAGGACATGATTCAAATATCTAAGCTAGGCAACAGTTAGCTTATCAGAAACTATTTTTCCAGTCCTGAACTGGCTGTTTTTCTTCAGATAGTCAGCAACTGATAAATTAGTTTCCCAAAAAGAAAATTGTTATGTATTTACTATAATCTTATAACGTTTTGTACCAGGATTATCAGCTCTGAATCTAACTGTTGCCCATCCATTGTTTGGAACCACAATTGTATTAGCTTGAGGTGGATCAACTAAGTTATATGACAACGTCGTTTTTGTAAATACCCACACCTGATCCAATCAGGTAAAATTTATACCCATGCAAATGCATTGGGTGATCCTCTCCTCCATTAAGGACATTAGTCCCTTGGAAATTATCTCCACTGACTCATTATAATTCAACACCTTTACTGTTGTTGCCTGTTTGGTAAGTATGTAATTTGGTGTTAGGAGGTCGTCGCCTGTGAAGTTAAAAAACACAGGCGGTATGTCTGGGAAGTCTGTTTCGTAGATCCCACTTATGTTCCTAAAACAGAAGTTTCAAAAAACTAAAATTAATTTTGGAATTAAGATCAGAAGTTTAAATTTCTGCAATAATTTAAAAATATATGTAGCGGAATTGATGAATTATATGCTGGTTGAGGTACCTGTAATATGCTTCAAGAATATCAATTGCAGGATTAACAAAACTAATGTTGTTTAAGCTTGCCAAGATCCTGCCACCATCTGGCCCTGCGCAGGAGTCATTTGGACAGGGATTCAGATTGGCGGAAATTGTT